TCCCGGGTGGTCCGACCAACGTCTCTGGTTTCCCTGCCCCCCCACCCCTTGTTTTGCTCTAGTGTGAGCCGCCTGGAAGTCGGTCCTTGAGGGGGGGGTACTGTCACGGTGTGGTTCACTTCCTGTCTTATTTTGTAGTTTTCTGCCACTCGTGTCCCCGGGTAACTTCACTTCCTGCCTTGTCTCGTCATCCCCTGTGTTCGTCTAATAGTTTCCACCTGTGTTCCAATCACCTGCACCTCCCTTGTGTATTTAAGCCGTGTGTCTCCTGTGTCACTGGTCGCGTCATTGTCTTTAGCCACGCATGTCCTGTCTTTGTCTTGGATACCCATAGTTCATGCCTGTGTGTTTTTGCCCCCTTGGATTTTTGACCATTGACTATTAAAGCCCTTTGTGTTCCTGTTGAACTCTGCGTCTGAGTCCTGCCTTCCACCCCGCAACCCTGACAGTTGCTTGTTTGTGTGTACACACACTAGGTGGTCACCCTGGTCATAGGCCTCGGGGCCACTCAGTCACTTCCATCCTGCCCGACTGACCGGACATAAGATGCTCAGCAGCCAAGTGAAGTTTCCTCCCCCCTCAGGGGCGATGATGCCTCCGTTCAGCCCCCACCACCCCCCCCCCTGCACTTCACCTGAATTGTGCTAACTCATCAATGTAAAAGCAGAGCTTCTGGGTCTTACATTGAATAATTTAGAATGATTGGACTGAACACTTATGCAATAGGTTCTGCAGTCGGGACAGGCAGAGTACAAAAGGGCTCATGAGATGCTGATATTCAGATGGATTGATGGACAGGTACATACAGTAGTGCTGCATGCATGTGTTTGAATTACACCCTTGGTGTTCTTGTTAAATTGTCCACGTTCTGTCCCTTTTTATCATGGTTTCATTTACACACTCTGGGGAAACAAAACATGCTTTGTTTTGTCATCAAATTAAACTATGTTGTCTCAAAGCGACATAATAACCGGTATGTCACAGGGATGAGCTGGCTTCCCACGAGCAGGACCACATCACGCTGCCTCGCCTGTCATCGGGATATACTGTACAGTTCAAACGCTGGGCCCTTATGAGATGCAAGGGATGTAAACAGAGACACGAGTGTTGTCGGCTGCTGCAGATGGCTGGCAGAGTGTACCGGGGCCGCATCTCGGGAGTCCCCAGGGCGCTGCATACAAAGGTTGACAAGCGTGCTCAGGCGACCGCTCTCCCCCTGAGAGACGGTGGGATGTGCTGCCGGGCACACGCTGCTGCTCAGGAGACCCGGTGCTTATTGATTTTAACCCCCGTGCAGAGCGGCTCGTCTCGAGCCGGATTAAAAGCATCACGCTGCAAACAACGAGCGCTCTGGACCGGTCGGTCTGAGCAGGAGCCGGCACTCGGCATGATTAAACCGCCGTTAATTGAATTGAAACTTGGGTGTGGGGATATAAAGAGATGTTCCCTGAAAGTGGTGTATTATGTACAGGAGTTGGAGAGGGAGGGGGCTGTCTTTCCAAGACTTAATTGACTGCATCGGTCCGGATCCATGATTCAGCGAGCTGGGCAGATGCAGGGTGACCTGCTGGGTAATAGATTAAACGAGGTCAACTACAGCGCTCGCGTTCTCGTTCCTTTTATCCTTCGTGCTCTCCATCTTGCTTCCTTTTCTTCTCTTCTCTTTTCCATTATACAGTAAGTGCTCATTATTAAGTGCTGGGCTGTGAATAAGTATTGTTAACTGTTTACAGCTCTGAGTGAATGGAGGAAGTACTCCCAGGACCCTCTGGAGAGGAAATATAAAAGTACTCCCAGGACCCTCTGGAGGCCTGCTATTCTTATCTGCCCTCCCGTTTCCCGTAATACTTGACTCTTTGCCACGGCAGTCTTATCCATGAGGTAACGCGTGTTCCCGTGCACTGCCAAAGGGACTATGAGCTTGTTATTTTTGTCCTTTGGCATCTGTGTTAAAAATCACACTTTAGAGAGTGATGATTGGACAATAGATCTGCTGAACTGGCTCCTAACGGAACAACTGCCACTGGGTTCATTCTTACATTCTTTTGAATTTAATTCACCTTTTTTTTAAGTCAACCATTTATTTGCATATTTAGGTCAGCATTTATGTAAGAAAGTATTAACTATAGTATATAACTTTTTGTCCTCCATGAGTAACTACCAGGGATTTTGGAAGTAAATCTTGCAGCCAAAGGTGTGATTAATAAAAACATTGCATCACCTCACAAGCAATTTACTAGTCAGTTATTGGCTGCAGTGGGACGACCTTGAGGAGGCAGGGCACTCCGTAGGAAGTGATGTCAGTTACGGGGTGAAATACAGCGCTGAGGGGGATTAGGCCATAATCCGTGCTAATAGCCTTGCCATATGCATTCAGGCAGGAACCAAAACAACTCCCATCCCCACTCTGCTTAATTGATAACAGCAGGTAACTCAGATATTAGAACAAGAATGTCAGCTTTGAATCGTCACATCATATCCTGACATGACGCAAACACCCCCTGTGGTTATTGCCTTTTGTTGGGCTGTGTGAGTCCCAACACTCTGTGATTAAAATGTACATTATTTCCAATACACGCAGCGAGAAAATAGATCCAGGAGTAGAGGCGTGTGAGAACAGTCAATCTCCTTTAAACCTAATCTGATCAGAGTGAACCATCCGGAAGGGGTCCTTTCTCTAATTACATTACCACACATGCTCAGAATGTGCATGTTTTATGGCCGTGGTCCATTCTAATTCCCCTCGACCACTATTTACTCAAAGACCTCCAGCCTCCGGTGACTCAAAGCTGTTGATAACTACATTTTCTTGACTCGTGATTGACAATAATTCAGGAGGCCGGGTGTCTTATTACGAGGAGAGCACAAAGTGGGCCAGCTGGTGTCCGGCCTCGTCGCTGTGGTGCATCCACATCACATCACAACCTCTCGCCCCAGCGGTGGAAACACTCCCCGGGCATCTGTCCAACAAATCAGCTGTTATTCACGTCTAGTCAGCGGACCACGTGACGCCCTGCTCCCGTCGTCCCACGGTGGCCGTTTGCCGTGAGGATCACCTATTCGATCGGCCGTTCCTCCCTGTGCGTCTTATGCAACCGCTCCAACGTCTAGACGACGCACCGCTCTGGGAAGAGGTGGGGGGGGGGGGGTGATTAAGGAAAACAGGAAAATACCAGAAGCTTTGAGACCACTTGTCGCAGCTACATCCAATCCTACTTCACCCCGGTTACCGTGACAACCGGAGTGACATGCAGATTGAAACTCTTGCGTGGCGTTGCCATGGGGATGCGCTCAACACAGTGGCACGAGGCTACATGCTGTTTGATGGGGAGCTGCGCCCCCGAAGATCTGTGACGCAGCTGTGGTCACGTCAGCTGGATGATGGCCCACGTTTCAAGTCCCTCCCGTGGAAAACCGACGTACCGTGTTTAGTAGTTTGAGTTGCAGTAAGAAATCACGTCTCCTTGCTGAGCCCTGCATTGCTGCCCAGGATTCTGTCACAGCTGTCAGATTTTTTTTTTCTGTAATGCCTGATCTGGGATCTGAGGAATTTGTGTGCAGATTAAAAGTGCGTCTGCGAACCGGGCAGCGGGAGATGAAACGGGGAAAAACCACAGCATTTGATCCGCAATCTCTCAGCATGTCGGGTCAAGTCGGTCAGACGTCACGTGGCGGCTGTAAAAACACGCAGCTCCCACGTAGAGAAACACATGTGGGAGAATAACATAATATGTTATTTGAGCTCTTCCACTACAACGTCTGCCCATTTTTTTTTTCTCAGCTCCTTAATGAGATGAAACATGCCGTCTCAACACCATCAAATATCATATCTTCCATTAAGCCAAAACAATACTAATGACAAACAAATCAGCCCTTTGATAACAAAAACATTTGCATATGATTCAACCAAACGTTTCCACCCAGAGGACGGAGAGGCATGAACCAATGCCCCACATTTAATAAACCCCTCAGGTTAGCAGTGCCCTTGTGTGACATTTCATAGCGTTGGGCAAATCAAATAGTGTTACAGGTCCTATCAAATCCCATTGGTATTTTAAAAGAATCTTGGATTCTACATATCGGAATATCTGATTTTTTCATCATATAGTTTCCTGAAAAATATCATGCTTTTCTCCTCGAGGATCAGTTCAACCGTAGTTTTTTTTTTTGTAACCCAGCGTTAAAACCCAAACACAAGTGAAAAGATTGTGGCAACAGGCAGAATTACAATGAGTCAATGTGGAAAAGATGATTTACAGCTTGACTCCAAAAAACAAAAGTATCCATCCACTCAACATTAACCATTATCAACTTGTGAATGGAGATTTCTGAATTTTACTGATAAATCAAACACTAAACTTATTTTCAACGTACAATTATACAACAAGCCATTATTTAATCCAGGTCTAATAGATACACAGGGATGCAATTTACTTTTACAAAGTGAACAAAATGATCCAAAACCTATTTATTAATGTTATTATTATTATTTTGTAATGTATTACGGCTTTACCTGCGTTTACTTCGGGGGTCTCAGACGGGAGCCTACAAACCACCAGGACCAGCTGCTCGGCTGTGAGCTTCTCCAGGAGAGGCAGAAGTGTGTAGTGACACCTAGAGGCTGTACTTCAGACCAACGTCAGTCATCTCATGTTTTACTCTGTTCTTTGACAGATTCACAATGCGTTGAAAAGAGAGAGAGTGCTTTTAAAGGTTTTCGCTGTTGCCATGGCAGTGATGACACGAGAACTGACGCTTCCTGAATGCAGCTCTGTGTCAATGAAGCCACGCTCTGTGTGGCCTCATCCCACCTGTCCAATAAGCTCGGACGAGGCACTGCGTCGGCTGCTGGACGAGACCACAGGAAAACTGAGCGGCCGACGTTTTTAAGCGAGATGAAAAAATGGCCTTTCAGAGGAGCAGCAATCACATGCTTCCATTAAGGAAGAGAGGAGGGCTGATTCACGGATAACTGAGTGACCCCTTTCTGCCTGGTGGCCATGTGTAGGTTGTGTGTGTGTGTGTATGTGTGTGTGTGTGTGTGTGTGTGTGTGTGTGTGTGTATAAGGTCCTACATTTGCTATCAGACTCCAAGGAGTCACCCTGCTATCGAAGTACGGGAACGCAGCAGCTATGCAATCTTTCTTTTTTTTATTGACAGTTAATATGACACTATAATATAACAAAGTGATGTAAAGCAAATATTTACTGTTTTTCTTACTGTCTGGTTACCTCCATCCAGGCTGCAGAGGTGGAGAGGCAGCTGTCCACTCAGGTCCATTCACTACGGGACGACTTCAGGGAGAAGAGCATGTCCACAAGCCAGCACATGTCTCGACTAGAGACTCTACAGGCCGAGGTGAGCCGCCGTCAGCCCCATTGGTCCTTCGTACAGTACAAATGATTCAATTGTACTTGTTCAGCGTGAACCTCCCAAAAAAAAATTTTTTTTAAACTGTGGACAATTGCAGAATCCAGAAATAATGTTTGCAGTTATTGATTCTCTGCAAGAAGCCCGAGTGCTTCAGGTGACAGCAGATCCCAAGTTAAAGCGTATGAAGTATTAACACAGTTTTCTGTTGCAAGAAAATACTCCGTTCAATTAAATTCCCTCACTTGGTTTGGTTTGACTAATGGTGACTAATGTTAGCTCAAATCTGCAAGATGGACATTGATCCTGTGTTCTGAAGAAGATGGTACTCATCCAACACAAAGGGTTTACTCTGTCGGGGGAATTGTGGGTTTACTCACAAACTACTTTTCTCCTTTTCCTGTCATCATTATCTCTCTCCTCACCCATTCCTCCTTCCCCTTTGTTTGGAGCAGCAAGAGCTAGAAGTGAGTGGTTTACGCTTTCTGTCGGTCGGATCGCATGCTGCATGTAACGTCTTGTAAAGAAATAAAAAAAAACAAGGATTGGACTAAATATTAAGAAACGCAGCTCTGTAGTCACGCAGAGTAAATCATTTTTCCACTCTTTGGCAATCCCCGATCGGTGACATTGAGCATGAACAACATCCTGGGTTATCGGAGCATGATGTGTTGTGATGTCGGCTGTGTCATGTGACATATCGTCCTGACAAGTAACAGTACTGTTAGAGCGTAACAACAAATCACATTTTCCCTCAGCTCTCCTCCTCAAAGCCACAGAGAAAACACCCAGACTGCGGATCCTGCGCTGTAATTGGGGGAAAAGGCTACTGCTCTATATTTAGCTGAGACACTGCAATGTGTCTGGATGCTTCCACTTCTCCAGTGCTTTGCCTTAATGCGACTGTGTGCTGATGACCAATGGAGTTTTGCCCTATTTGTGTAAAGCAAGAGACCATAAATAACCAGAATCTGGCAATGTGGATGCTCATACGATCACGGAAAGCAGATAATCCAAATGTAAGCTCCTACCCTGTGAAGTAGGTTACCAGATGTAGGTCAAGAGCAGGAGGGATGAACATGAACAAGAGCTGCTGTTTGTTTAAGGGGGGGAAGCCACTCAGGCAGCTCTGAGGGAAAACAATTTGTTAGGAATCCAGAAGGCCGTTAGACGTGCATGGTGGAGCTTTGGGGAGACGCTACCATGTCAACAAGGCATTCCTGAAGTTCAGGCTGGTAACGCCTCAGCCCGGGCTAAGCAACAAACATTCCTTAGACCAGTGGGAGGACTTTTTAATCTCGTGTAAGAACCTTGCCTCCGAGTCAGGAAAATAACAACATCTAGCCTTTAATCAGATCCATAGCTGCCCATCTGTTCGCTATCGACCCCCGAAAATCGAAAAGCAATCCTCCCGTTAGCCACGTGCCAATGCCCGCGTCCCGTGGCGCAGTGAATTGACTGGTGCTGTCTGACGCGTTAGATCAAGATGCTGTCGGAGAGGAAGATGGAGCTGGAGCACCGGGTGCACGCCATGCTGGAGGAGAACGAGCTGCTGCAGAGCACCGTCGACGACCTCCGAGAGAGGACGCTGGTGTTGGAGAGACAGTCTCACCGGAAGGACCTGCAGGTACGGACGCGTGAACACATCTGTGTTAGCGATCAAATCTCGGTGGAGTCGACTGGCCAATCAGGTGCTTCCATTTGTGTAACCTCCCTCCTCTGGTGAGTCCAGTTGCGGCAGAGCCAGCTGGAGCTCCAGGAGGTGCAGGTGTCCCACAGGCAGCTGACCGCTCGGCTGGAGGAGTTGACAGAGGAGCAAAGCCTCCACAGTCTCACCCCGCACCCGTCCAGCCTGCTGTGCGAGATAGACTCAGAGCATGGAGCAGGAGGAGCAGGAGCAGGAGCGAGAGCAGGTGATCACACTGGGAAGTCGCTGCCGAAGACTCTGCTGTGCTTTTCTGGACACGCTTCTAAACACCTTCCGGTCTTGTTTGTTTTAGCTGCGTCTTCAGTTGTGGGAGGCCTACTGTGAAGTCCGCTCGCTCTGCTCCCACCTCCGGGGGAACGACGTCACAGATTCGGCGCTGTCCACCGATTCTTCCATGGACGAGTCGTCGGAGACGTCCTCAGCCAAGGATGTGCCTACTGGGAGCCTCCACACCGGCCTGCTGGAGCTACGGAGGCTCACGCAGAACCTGCTGGACGGCAACGAGTCCACGGTGAGGCGCAACTCACTGGGAACCAGTAGGGCTCGTTCTTCTCTTAAGACAGGGCCTGTGATTTTCCACCAGGTAGTGGAATCCAGATATTGATAGACGGCTGACATCCGTTCCTTTTTTTTTTTTTTCACTAGCTCCACTCTGGCATTCACGCTTTCAGTTTCAGCCATTTCCTTTATTTTGTATTTTAGGCTGCTTTAAAAACAACTGTTGATTAGTAGGCAGTGTCCCTGCAAAACAAATAAATAAACCTTTAGAGGCACGTGTGCAGATTATGTCCAATCAGACGATGCCGGTGATCTCTCATTCTGATTGGCCAGAGAGTTAACAGAATTGTGGATATCGGATAAAATTGCGCCGCTGTAATTGAATTTGTTGTTAATATATTCAAAGTGCGATACCACAGTCTTTTTGTTTATTGCGCGAGTTGACACGACAATAAAACACGTATTGTCAGCACTGACTGAACGGCCTATGTTTTAAAAAGGGAGGTAATGCCTCATTGCGGGGCTCTAATAACTATGCAGATTAGTATTGTTATAGCGAAAATAGAGGCAATGATACTAGGGAAGATATAGTTATAATTGCTGTGTGTATTCAGAGTACTGTCACAGATACACAAAATGAAAATAGAGGAATATTTCTCTCCTGTTCATTTTCATGCAAATAAAAAAATACATTTTACTATTTAACTTAATTTAAATGCAGGTCAATTCCTTTCTTAAAAGTTATTTTAGGAACCTCATGAACCTGTAAAAATTGTAAGCTAGATGCTTTAAGACAGTCCACATTGATAATAGTGCAGGATGGAGCCTCGATGGGCCTGTTGCAGTAACAGCACATTGGACGTGAAGTGGCCGTGCGTTGTGTAAAAATGAATGTCCATAAATCTGTGCAGGAGAAGCCTTTAAGTTGCAAAGTGTTGTGTGTTCACAGGGCTCGCGGCGCAGTGATGAGGAGGCTCTGGAGGAGCAGCTGAGGAAGCTAGGAGAGGAGCTGAGGGAAGTCAGAGAGCTGTACGAAACTGAGCAGGACAAAACGCGCAGCAATGTGGAGGATGCGCTACAGCTGCACAATCAGGTCTCGTACACGTCTACACGCAGCGTAATGAACACATACGTAACCGGGTGACCCATAAAGACGTTTGAATGCGTGTCATGGTCCCCGTGTGACCTGCAGATGGCGCTGCTCTCTGTGGAGATGTGTTCTCTGCGGGAGGACAACGAGAGGATGAGGACCATGGCGGAGGTCCGAGAACCAAGCGAGCAGCTGCAGACTGCTATCAGAGACAGAGACGATGCCATAGCCAAGTAGGTTCACATCTCGAGGTCCCTCGGTGAATATAATGTCAAGCTTAAAGGATTATGACAACTTGCATCTTCCATTTATAGTTCAGCTCCTGTTGCAATTAGTCATTTAAATATTGTATTTAGAATTCCTTAGGATCTTAGGAAGTAGATACTTCCCTTAAGCATTTGTTGCTGTTGTTGTTAAGTTTTCTGGCAGAGGCAAACTTCTTTTTCACAAATTGTGAATTGCTTATTTTTCACATATTGTATATTAAGCTACAACCAACAGTCCAATACCTTAGCTTAGCTTGAAGACTGGCAGCGTCAATAAAGCAGCATATGAACATGTGCTTTGAGGAGATACAGTGGAAACACGTCTAGCCGAGCAGAAAATAAAGCTGTTGTTTTAACTGTTGACATAATGTGTTAATAAGTGGGCCTCAGAGGTGCTAGCGGGCGTAATCTGACACTATTGAAAGGGGGCGGGCTTTATTCTGCCTGCTCCTGGCAACACATTGAATAAGTGAGTTTACCGAAGGTTTAAGGCGATAGCTCTACATTCACCACCACGTTAGCGTCGCGCTCGCAGCTCGTGACCGGTTGCTCCGTCTGTGTGTCCTGCAGGAAGAAAGCGGTGGAGATGGAGCTGGCCAAGTGTAAGATAGACATCATGTCTCTGAATAGCCAGCTCCTGGACGCCATCCAGCAGAAGCTCAACCTGTCGCAGCAGCTGGAGGCGTGGCAGGTGGGTCAAACGTCACAAGCGGTGTATTAG